TTTGAGACTACTACATATCTAACTTATTCTTCTGTCTGTAGAGAGAATAAGAGAGTGCAATTATTTAGAGTTAAATGCTGATAATTTCACAGAATTACTAAAAAAAAAAAATCTAAAGTCTAAGAAGCCTAAAACTTGAGAGACAGAGAGAGAGAGAGAGAGAGAGAGAGAGAGAGAATACCAGAAACAGCCAGAGAAAAAAGACAGATACCCTGCAAAGAGACAAATAGAGCATCTGTGAACAGCAACCATGGAAGCTAGAAACAGTGAGAAAAGCATCTGTAGGATGAAAACAATTGTTGTGAACCTAAAATAGAAACTCAGTTTCAAGAATGAAAGTGGATAAGGGCAGGTTCAAATGAAAAGCATCCACTCTCCCTGCAGGAGATGCTGGAGCCAGTACTCCAGGGAGAAGGGAGGGGGCTCCGTCTCTGAAAGTCTGAGATGCCAGAAGATCCCTAAGTGAAGATTGGGGGCACCAAAGCCAAGGTRACAAAATATGATGAAAAATTTTATGCTGGTAAATTTGAAAACTCAGGTAAAGACATTTCTAAGAAAGTAATACTTAACACATATGCAAGTAGGAAAAAAAAAAAAAAGTCCAAATAGCCTTTGTATGTAAAAGTAAATGAATTAGTAGTTTAAAATCTTCTGACTAGGAAAACACGGGGCCCAGCTGGTGTTTTAGGTATGAGAATGAACCTTCAAGTAAAAAATATTATTAAAAATATTAAAAATACCAGAATAGCATAGAAAAAAAACAAAGAGCATTTCCTAATACTGGTGAAACATACAACCATGAAATTCTAGAGAAAGTACTGGAGCACATCCTCAAGATCTTAAGAAGGTGATTTTTTAAAATAAGATATCAAATGTGTTTTGTTAAAATGGAAAAAGTCACTGAAAATTCACCTACTTTAAAATGGAGAATTTAGATCAGTATAATCACTATGGGAAATACTTTGGTATTACTCAATAAATTTAAGTGTGCATATATTCCATGGACCGAAATCTTGTCTCTCTCTCTCTCTCTCTCTCTCTCTCATATATATATATATATATATATATATATACATATATACTCTTAAAACACTGCATCTGAGGACCTGGAAAGTATGCATAGAATATGCAAATCGCTAATACTAGAAAAAAATCCACCTCAAGTACAACAACAAAGATATGTCCAGTATAGCAGAATCCTACAGGGGAAGATTATATCACAATGAAAAGCAGCCCACTCTGGGTATCTCAGAAGGATTCTCGATTATTCTTATGTTAAGAGGCAAACACAGAAGACTTTGTTCAGTTTGATTCCATTTACGTAAATCTCAAAAACAGGTAAAACTAAAAACATTTTGTTTTGGGATAAATGCAGTTATATTTGGTTGATTCTGAGACATACCTTTTACTCTAACATTTTAATCTCTCTAAAAAGAYGTGTGTCTTATAACCAGTGGTGTCTTGCAATTATATTTAGCACGTTTCTTTTTTCTTTTTTTTTTTAGGCAACGTTGTGCGTCTCACAATGTTGGGGGGTTTGAAATTCAACGAAATATAGTAGGTGATAAAACTATTTTTAAAAAGTGACAGAATGACTAACACAAAATTTGGTACATCTATGATTACCTATGTTCAGGAGGGAAGGAAGGAGGCTGAGGGAAGGAAGAGGTACCCAGAAGCATCCCAAAGTACCAGTGGGTTTTTTTGTTTGTTTGCTTACTGGTGTTTATTTTATTATTGTTATTTAAACTTCTTAGACTTTTGCATGTATGAATATCTTTCACAATTCAAGAAAAAAGGTGTGCAAGTGGTGAGGAAGTATAATGTGTTTTTTGTTTTTTTTTTTTTTTTTTRCGCCACTGTGACCAAAGAATTTTAGAGAAGAAAACATGTATCTGGCACTCATAATTTCAGAAGTCTCAATCCATAGATGGCCAACTCCATTGCTCTGAGGCCAAGGTGAACATCAGGGTAGAAGGGTGTGACCCAGGAAAGCAGCTCAGGATATGACAATCAGAAAGCAGAGAGAGAGTCAGCTTGGCTCACCAGGGACAAAATACATACCCAGGAGCACGTCCCCTGTGCCCCACCCCCTCCAGCCACATCCTGCCACCTAGTTACCACCCAGTTAATCCACTCCAGTGGATTAAGGCACTGACTAGGTTAAGACTCTAATAACCCAACCCCTTCACCTCTAAACTTCCTTGCATTGTCTCACGCATGAGTTTTGCGTGACACCTCCTATCTAAACCATAACACGGGGATGCACAAGCGCATCAGGAAGCTGTGTAGAGAGGTGTGTGGGGGGGGAGACAGGCAGGGGGCAGTTGTAGGAGGACATTGCAGGGAATGAGTGGGAAGACGGGGGAGTGGGAGCCCTCAGAACCACACATGCAGAGACACCGGCCTTGGAGGAGTGACACTTCTTCCATTTTAATAAAAGGAACACAGGGAGAGCTGGGCCCATGGAATTTGCAGTGGAATTTTCTACATGTTTTCCTTGGGGGGGGGGTCTGCTTTCTGTATGAAGAATATATAGGGCTGGGGATATAGCTCAGGTGGCAAAAGTGCTTGCCTCACATGCACAAGGTCCTGGGTTCAATCCTCAGCACCTAGAAGAGGAAAGAACGATGGAAAGCCCTTTTTTTTTTTTTTTTTTTTTTAGGAATAAAAAACAAAAACTGGCCTGAATAAAGGAGAAATGATCTCAGACATTTTAAGCTGTGCAATCTTTCCCTGGTAACAGAAAGGAGCCAGAAGCTCCACAGTGCCTTGCACAGGTAGAAAGATTAGAATTTTTGCTAAAAACGGCAGAAAAGTTCGACCATTCAGCCTGAGCTGGAATCCACAGTTCCTGGGTCTCTTGGTTGGAGGGGTCAGGTGTAGGTGATGGGCTGAGTAGGTGACATCTGCTGGGCTCTGGGAATGGGATGGGCCAGGACCTGGCTCTTTTCATATGTGGTTTTCTGCTGCCATCTGCTGGCTGATGGTGGGAACACTCAGGAATCCGCAGAGTCCTAACTTCCTCCACAAACCTTAGATCTTACTAGGAAAGAGGCAGGGAAAGCTACTAGAATCAGACTGTGAAGTATGTCAATCCCACCTTCTACACACACACACACACACACACACACACACCCCACAACATTTTGATCAATGATACAGTAAACTTTTACTTTTTGGCATACCGTGACTGCACAATATAATGTTTTAAAAACTAGATCAAGATGTTTGCATCATAAAAACAAAACAAAACAAAAAATCATTACATCTGCCACTTTTTCAAAGATGACATTTTTCAAGATCCAAGAACATAAGAATTAGAATGCGAATCTTGTGGATTTTAACAAAGCACTGGTTTGTCCGTAATTTCATGTTTTTAAAAAATCTTAAATTTCTTGTATATCTGTTAAGAATTGTTTTGATATTTTAAAAATCATAATTTCCTGTGTGATAGTCTAGGGAATCCCACCATTTGGTTACAGTACTTTTGAAAATTTAACCATTTTCATTTTCAAAGGTGAATTTTCAACAAGACAAAATCAGTAGTTTGTGCTTTTAGAAATCTCACTTCGTTATTTCCACTGGGCGGAGGGATGTTCAAAAGTAATAAAGGAGTGCTTTGAGTTGAGAAGCACTAAGTAAATGCCAGAGAAACCATTGTGCTTACCAAGAAATCCTAGAATTCCTGGTCAGCCGTGCTGTGCAGGATGTGTTGCTTTGTGGCCTTCAGTGCCCCTTAAAATAGGTAGGTATGAAAGCTTTCAGTGCCCCTGAGTCTCTTGAGCCCCAGAYTTCTGGATGCAGTCACCTGAGCAATCATTTAAAAGGCAAGTCAGATCCTGATACCCCATTTGCTTTGGGAGAGGTCAATGTTACACCTTAGAATAGAATACTGATCCCTTATCAGCTTTGCAGGGTCACRGGATTGGACTCATCCTTGCCCCTTCAAGCCTGCCCTTAGTCACCTTTCCTCCTTCTTCCATGGTTTTCATTTTCGTCCTTTGTGCCTCTTTCTGTTTCAACATTCTGTTTATTTCCTTTAGAGCCCTTGCTTCACCTGTAGAAACTGTTTATTTATCTGTTCATTTCTTGTCTTCACCACTAGGTGTTACCCCATTCAGTGGGTTCATCTTGCTCTCTCTGGTTTTTCCAGTGCCTAATGAACATTTATTTACCAAGGAATGAATGAGTGAACGAGGGATTTGAGCAAAGGAATATGTCACTCCAAGCAAGTTCACGGTATGGAGCTCATTCTAGAAGTAGAAGGAAGTTCCATTCCTGCATCCTGGCCTGATGGCTGTAGCTGGCAGTGGGTGGATCCTGGACTCCCACTAGCCACCAGGACTACTCCTGCTGTTCTTAGGAGAACACCAGAGAGCAGAGGCCACTCAGCCACAGTGTAGGAGGGCTGAGGGCATCAGAGGTGTGCAAACGCTTAGGTGCGACCGTTCCATCAGTGTGTGGATACCCATCCGGGAGGCCAACACCGGCTCCTAAACCAGCTAGTAGCACTTTGTATTGCTCCAATGTCCTTCTTTGAAAAGGTCCCAGCAATGCCACAAGCTCGAAGCCCTCTCCAAAGAGGGCATATTAACATCTCCATTTTACAAATGGAGAGATAAGGAGCCCACGTTCAGTGGGCTAGAGTACACTCCTGGGCGGCAAGCTCCTGTCTGGCCTTCCAGGGGTTCTCCCAGTCAGACGATCAGAGCCGGAGTAAGAGAAAATAAACCAGAACTGTCATCCGTTCAGAATCGGTGGCTTGGGAAGCTTGATGACAGCCGTCCCCACGAGAGGTAGCTGGGGTGAAATGCTTGCTTAGCTCCAGAGAGGCTCGGGTCGGACCTCTCAGGACACAGTTTCCCCTCTCTGGAGTCCCAAGGTGGTCTCCTCTGCCTCTCTCCTGGGTTGGGTCCTGGCACCTGGGGGAGAAACCACCTGGACAAGGAGCTCAAGCCAGAATGGAGTGTGCGAGGGTCTCTGGGCAGGGCCCGCCTTCAGGGCAGGCTGATCTGGGGGTTCTTCAGGAAGAAGGCCAGTTTCTGGGCTAYGGAGTCCAGCTCGCTGGAGTTGGCATATTGGAGGAGGTTGCTCTTTGGGACGAAGTAGTGCTTCAGGAAGTGCTGGCTCACACACTTGTGCAGCTTCCTCACCAGGCGCAGGAGGGCTTTGTGCAACACCTGCCAGTCCTTCAGGTGGGGATACTTCTCGCAAGTCCAGAAGAGCACAGTCTGCGGAAGCAAGAGGGAGCGTCAGACGTGGTTTTGGGGTCCCTGGGCGGAATATCTTCAGAAACGAGTACTGAGTCTGTGTGGCCTTGGAAGGAGGGAGAGAAGAAAATGGGACCTGCCCTGAATTCATGATCCTCSGTCTCAGATGGGCACTCTGTCTCAGCCAGTGGGTCCTCTCCCTGTCTTGGCTGATTTATTCTCTCACTCTCCTCTGACATTTCTAGTGATCATCAYTCTCCAAGTCTGCAGCGGCGCACACCATGCCTTTGCCTCCTATTTTAAAGGCAACGTGGAACCAACCCCTCATCCTTGGAAACCCAAGAGCTCCCTTTACCCCTTCTGTTCCACCCCTCCTCCTAGCCAGGGCTGACCCCTGCACAGGACCCAGATCCTGCCATCTTGGAACTGCGTATGATKGCTCTCCCTCTTGCTCCATGGCTTCTCGACCGGTTCCAACTCTCCTGCTCCCTGACCCCCGACTTCCCCTCTGCCCTAACTCTTGCCTCTCTGCAAATCTAGGTTCCCAGTCACTTGTCATCGTTTTCTCTCCTTCCATTCATTGCYTGCCTCCCATTCCCTCCAATATGGCGTCTTCTTCCATTAATCCTAAAATCTGCTCTTGCTATAATGTTTCTCAATCCAACCCGACTTTTTCAGACTTTGCTTTATCTGCCTTTCAGKGATTAGATTCCCGTCCACACCCTCCTCTTTTGAGCCCCTCTTCACTCGGCTTCCAAGCTAATCTACTCTCTGGGTGTTCTCCTAGCATTACAGCTACTCCTTGGCAGAAATATCATCCTTGACCCACCTCCAAATGTTGGAGTTTCTGGGGGTTCCCTTCCCGCACCACTTCTCCTCTTTACCTCTCTTCCCCAGCTCTGAGTTCCTCCCACCACAGAGGCGTTAGTTCCCGTTAATATGGTTGACCTGTAAATCGTTTTCTCCGGCTCTGACATTTCCTCTGATCTCCTTACCTGTTTCTCTTGGATTTCTAAAAGTTATCTCAGTCTCAACGTGTCCAAACTGAACTCGTGGCCTTTCCACACAGCCTGATCTGCCTCCAGAGTTGCTTATTCAGTGAGTTATGCAAGACACAAACCTAGGAGTCATCCCTCTCCCCACCATGCCCAGCCAAGTCCTGCCCAAACTCCTGCCTAAGTAATTGTCAACTCTGCCCACTTACTTCACCTCCAGTGATAAYACCCTCTTCCACACCACACAACATTTCACCTGGATCCTGGCAACAACCGTAACCAGTCTGCACCTACTGCCTTCACTGTTTAGCCTGACCCCACCCACACTGAAGTCCCCACATGATCTTTTTGAAATATAAACCTTGGTTCCTTCAACTTCTTCCCACTGTTAGTTAACTAAAAGTACAATTTCTTTAACATGGTTTGGTCTGTGAGGTTTGGCCTCAGCCTCCCTTGCTAACCTTTTGACAAAGGTGTCAAGAAAGATATAGAATCGGGTGAGACATCCATCAACAGAGCAACAGATAAAGAAAACCTGGTACCCATCCACAACGGGGTGTCATTCGGCCATAAAGAATGGAACCCTGCCCCTTGCAGGAATGTGGATGGAACTGGAGGACATTATGTTAAGTGACATAAGTCAGACACAGAAAAGCAAGTACTGCATATTCTCTCTCATATGTGGAAGCTAAAAAAAAAAAAGTTGATCGGAATATGGAATGGTGATCACTAGAAGGTTGGAAGGGTGTAAGGGTGAGGTTGGGATTTGATCAGTATGTGTCACGTGCATTAGGGGAAATAGCACACTGAACTTCACGAATGTGTACAATCAATACATGTTAATCAGACATAAAATAAGTATTTTAAAAAGAACATTGAGGAAAGGACAGTCTCTTTAATAAGTGATTCTGGGAAAACTGAAGAGGTGTGTGTATGTGTATGTGTGTGTGTGTGGGTGTGGGTGTGTGTGTGTATACATACATGAACATACATATATAATGTATATGAATATAAATATTATATGAAGGAAACTAGATTTCTATCACCATATACAAAAGTCAACTCAAAATGGATCAAAGAACTAAATGTGATACCTGAAAGTATGGAACTACTGAAAGAAAACATAAGGGAAACAGTTCAAGATATGGATACAGGCAAAGATTTTTTGCATCAGACCAAAAGCATAGGTAACAAAAGTAAAAATAGACAAATGGAATTGTATCAAACTAAGAAGCTTCTGCACAGCAAAGCAGTCGACAGAATGAAGACACAACTGCAGAATGAGGGAAAACCTTCCCAAACCACGCACCAGACAGGGATTTATATTCAGAATATATACAGGACTCAACACCAAAAGAACAAATGATCTGCTGAAAATGTGGGCAAATGATTTAAATAGACATTTCTCCAAAAAAAAAAAAAAAAGGAAGAAAGAAATACAAACGGCCAACAAATATATAAAAGATGCTCCAGGTCACTAGACATCAAGAAAATGCAAATCATACCCACAATGAGATACCATTTCATCCCAGGTAGAAGGGCTAATTTCAAAAATCAAAATGTAAACAGGGAGAGGATACAGAGAAAGAAAAACTTGTTCATTGGTGGTGGAAATGTAAATGAGTACAGCTATTATGGAAAACAGTCTGGAAGTTCTTCCAAAAACTTCAAATAGAACTACCACACGACCCAGCCATCCCACTACTGGGTCTGTATTCAAAGGAAATGAAATCAGTGTATCAAAGGGAGACGTGCATGCCTGTGTTTATTGCAGTGAAGAGCATTGCAACAGATGCCCATCAACAGATAAATGGATAAAGAAAATGTGACGTATCTATGCACATAATTGAATATTATTCAGCCATAAAAAAATCCTGTCATTTGCAGTAACCTGGATGGAACTGGAGGACATTATGTTAAGTGGAATAATAATCCAGGAGCTGAAAGACCAATATTGTAAGTTCTCACATGTGGATGCTAAAAGAGTTGACTTCACGGAAGTCTTTGAGAGTACAATAGTGTTTACTAGAGCTTAGGAAGAAGGAGAGAGGGAGGCGGGAAATGATTCCAAAACGCAGTAGGATAGGAGGCAGACGCTCTGTTTTAGGGTGACTGTACGTTACAATGATTTACTGTATTTTTCAAAATAACTAGAAGAGTTCAAAGGTTCCCAACACATAGAAGTGATAGATGCATGAGGAGAAGAAAATGCTGATTACCCTAGTTTGATCATTATGCATTGTATACACGGATCAAATGATATGATATCTGATAAAATGTACAAATAGTAGGTGTCAATGTAAAAATCAATTATCCATGATATACTGAGAAAAGAAGGGGAGGGAGGGAGAGGGAGGAAAAAAAAGAGGAAAGAAAAGGGACTCATAAAAGGCCAGGGGACAGAGGGTGTTTGACTCCAGGCAGGGACACACAGAGAGCACAAGTGTATTGTATTTCCATAATGAGTGATCATCAGAGGAATGGCCACTGTGGCCACTACGGCCTCATCCTAAATTGATCCCACGCAGTGGCCCTACCAAGCTGTACACACAGGGTCCCACCTAACCAGAGCTGTCCAGCAGCCACTCCACCGCCACCCCAGGCTCACCTGCAGATGGTGGGAGGTGAGGACAGGCCTCTTCCCAGGACACCAGACGTCCTCCTTCAGCTGCCTCATGACCTGAAAGCACTGTCTGCGGCAGCCCCCRTCCTCGTCCAGCTGCTCCAGGAGCATCTGCTCGGCCTGGGAGAAGCTGAGCTGCCAGTGATAGCCGGCGTGGGCCAGCAGGTTGAACCCAAAGGACTGRAACAGAGGGGAGATGGGCAAGGTGAGGAGGAGGCACCCTGGGGACGTGTTGCGGGGCAACAGCGCGTCCTACATAGGGACAAGAGGGCAGCGAGGGGACAACACAGACCACACTGGCTGTGGACAGGGAGCCGGAGGAGGCTCCGTCTGCTTTGTCTGTTGTCCGGCTTCAGTGTGCATCAGAGAGCCCTGGAGGGTCTCGGAGCCTCATGGGGCCTGGGGCTGTGTGTCTCTAACAAGTTCTGGGGTGAGGCTGCTCTGGGTTGGGACTGACATTTCGAGAAGCAGATCTAGCAAACCCCCAACTTTCCTTGGGGAGCCCGTTAGCCATACTGCAAGGGGTAAGCTGATGGTGTCCAGGTCCCTGGTACCTTGAGGCATTCCACTTTCTCTGGGGAAGGCCAGCGCTTCAGACACCGAGGCCACTGTGCTTTCTCAGACCAGGCGGTGGGGACCTCCACGGTGGGGACCAGCTCTAGTTCCACCTGACAGGCGGCTGTTTCCACGGCAACCCAAACGGCCTCGCAGTTTGCCAGCAGGCTGACCTTACCTGGTGGGCAATGACCAAACAGAGAATGAGAGAGGGAAAGGCCTGCTCAATACAAGCACTGAGAGAAGGAGTCTGTGAGCAGCTGCTCCAAACAGCCCCTTGCTACCTGAGGGGCGCATTTTTGGGGGTGAGGGTGGAGGGACTTATGTCAAAACCAGTCAGATAACCATTGTTAGAGTATTACTAGGAAATCTCATTGCTGGTGGTTTTTTTTTTCTTTTTTTTTCTTTCCCTTGCCCCAAAGCTTTTATGCTATCTTTAATTCTTTTTTAAAATTTATTTTTTTATTTCTTACATACATGACAATAGTAGAATGCATTACAATCATAATTATCCATTCACAGCACAATTTTTCATAACTCTGTATATAAAGTATGTTCATGCCAAATTATGCCATTATACATGAGCTCTCTTTTTTTTTTTGCATTACGATTCTTAATACACCTTTATACCACAATTTATCATCTCTCTGTATATAAGGTATGTTGACACCAAATTCTTAATTTACTTTAGCACATCTGTGTGCGTGCACGTGTGTGTGTGTGTGTGTGTGTGTGTGTGTGTGATGTTGGAGATTGAACCTTGCACCTGCTAAACACTGAGTTACACCCTCAGCCCAGCATCTTTTTGTTTAATGGATTCTTTTCAGAAGGTTCAACTGAAAGAAAATCATAGAATAAAATGAAAATATTTGCTGCTGTCAGATGAAATCCAACCATTTTTCCCCCCTATTCTTCTCCCTTCTATCCAAGCACTGAGATATCAGTTTCAGATTAATCCAAACATAAGGAAAGACAGTGCCATTATTTTTTTTTTCTTTTCATCCTTCACCCAGATACTCTGACATTGTTCAAGGACAGCCTCAGTCCCCTTACTTATTCATATGCCTTTGGTGGAATTCTGCTAACCTGTCTTTATCAGAGTCAAAATCTCTTAGATGGTGTTTGTTTCCACCATCCATCTGCCAAGCAGATGGATGTATTTATCCTCATCAGCCCCTGTAATCATAAAACCCTTCAAAGCATGTCACGGCCACTGTTCCAAGAGGCCAGGTGAGTGGGAAGACACCCCCCACTGCCTGTTTCCCAGTCAGGCAGAAAAAAAAGGAAAAAATAAATAAAAAAGAAGTGGCTGATAAAGTTCTGTAGCTCACATACTAGGCTCTCCTCTCATTTCTAGTTTTCTCCTGCTTCTTTCAAAACATAGTAGCTTTTTTTTTTTTTTTTTTTTTTGCCTTCACGACAGATGAATGTCTTGAATGAGGGTCTATTATTTTGTTGGGTTTTTTTTTCCCTGCTCAGAGAAGAAAATGGAAGCTTATTAACCATGCTAGGCTGCTCCTTGACTGGGTGAGATGAGGGGCTCATCGTCTGCTTCTCATCAGAGCTGCCCAGACAGGAACAAGATGATATCTGGTACTTGGGCATCAGTAGCCGAAAGCACTTCCGATAACCTGATCCAGCCTGAGTCTCTAATTTGCACTTACACTAGTCACAATGTGGTGAAGTATAAGAGGTGAGCCAATGTGGAGGCAGTCTGCCAGGCCCACACCCTGCTCCTGGCTTACTTGGTATGTGGCCTTCAGCTAGCTACTTCATCTCTCAAGTCTCAATTTTCTCATCTGTAGAATAGGTACGAAAGAGAATTTTTACTCTCAAGGGTTGTTAAGGGGATTAAATAATCCATGAAAGCATCTTCTATATAGTAAAAATCATTTAGACATAAGCTAGGGAAATATTCAGAGCAATTCTGTTTAGATAAGTAAACCTTACCTGCAAATGTATCCTTTTCTTTCTAGACAAATGGAACGGCACAGGGCTCAGCAGTGTGGTTCTTCATTTCATCACCCTGCACCTGCATTTTTTATACTATCTGCCTGTGTGGGTCTCATTCCTCAAAAGGCTGCGTGGAGGTCCATGAGGCAGAAGGTAGCAGAATTTACTTGGTCAATTCTCCTTTGTTAGTTATATTTCTAGCTACTATTATAAAGCCTCTGGTAGGGAATATCTTTGTGCCTATTTCTCCATGTATTTGGAGAAACATGTCTAGAACTAGAACTGCTGAATTGCCAATTAGGTGCATCATTTTTAAAAAAATGGAAACATTTGACCTTTGAGTTTCTGAGTCTGGTGGACATCATACTAAGTGAAATAAGCCAGACTCAGAAAGGCAGGGGTTAAATGTTTTCTCCCATATGTGGAAACCAGAAACAATTAGGAAATTAAAAATGGAGGGGGGATCTCATGAAAATAGAAGGGAGAACAGTAGAGGAAGGGACCGAGGGGGAGGGAGGAAGAGAAAAGGGGAGGAAGGTCGATGAAATTGACCAAACTATGCCATGTGCACTCTATCCCAATGACTTCCACTTTTATGTGTAACTATAATGGATCAATTAAAAAATAAATGAAGGGCTGGGGATGTGGCTCAAGCGGTAGCGCCCTCGCCTGGCATGCGTGTGGCCTGGGTTCGATCCTCAGCACCACATACCAACAAAGATGTTGTGTCCACTGAGAACTAAAAAATAATAAATATTAAAAAATTCTCTCTCTCTCTCTCTCTCTCCTCTCTCACTCTCTCTTTAGAAAAAATAAATAAATAAATGAACAGAAGGAAGACCATACAGTAGAAGAAGGGACATCAGGGGGACAGAGGAGGGGAGGGAAGTGGGGTACTATTGGGGATTGAAATGGAGCTAATTATATGCATTTGTGAATATGTTGAAATTAAAAAAAAAAGATTTGGGAGGTGGCATACAATGCTTTTATGTAAAAATATTCATGAAAATTTAATAGGCTGTATTCATTTGCCAATATAAAATAAACTGTTAAAAAATAAAAATAAAAAAATGGACAAATTGCCTTTAAAAAAAAAAAGCACCAAAGCACTTCCAACTTTAATCTATGAATATGCCCCGTTGACCATGCCCACCCAATGCTGAGCAGGTCCCACTTCTCATCTCTGTCAATCTGTTCAGGATTTGAAGGCAATTTCTTGAAATACACATTAAATGGAACATTTTTTTTTCTTGTTTTTACCATTCATTTGTAGACTGTTTATATTCTTTTTTTGTCATTTACTTATTCTTTGGGCTTTTATTTCAATCAGACAGCTTTTTTTTTCCTTATTGGTTTACAAAGACTCATAATTAAGGAGATTAGCAAATCCTTTTTCTAGTTTGAAATTCACCCTTGTGCTTTGCATGAACAAAGAGTGTGTTTCAATGGAAAATTACTCAGCCATAAAGAAGAAGGAAAGTATGGCCCTTGCTGGTAAATGACAGAACTRGAGACTATCATGCTGAGTGAAATAAGCCAATCCTCCAAAAACCAAAGGCAGAATRTTCTCTCTGATATGTAGAAGYTCATTGGATTAGACAAAGGGCAACRAAGGGAAGGGAAGGTGGATTGGAAAGGAAAGACAGTAGAAWKAGTCGGGCATGTTCACATGCGAATGCATGACCACGTCATGTACAACCACAAGAATGGGATCCTAATCAGAATAAGTTACACTCCATGTATGTGCAATCTATCAAAATACATTCTACTGTTATGTCTAAAAAGAACAAATAAAAAAATGTTTAAAAACAGTGTCTGTGTGCCCGCGTGTGTACATCCATCTACATGGGCCCTATCATACAACAGCTTAAGGTATTGGAGCTGTCARACTGAATCCGTTCTGATGGCTTCAAGATTCTGTGCTTTGGTTCAGGGATGCCAGGACAGGTCATCTGCTTAAACCCACGGGAGTGTCTGTCTGTACAAATTCCACTCTTCTGTGTGTCACAACCAGAAAAAAGAGCTCCTCCATGCTCTGGGGACTCCACTGGTGTAAAGAACACACGATTACCATCTCAGGTATCACCCGAGCGGAGGCTTTTAGAGAAAAAGGGAGAAAGTCACCATTTCCCTGATCCACTTTTCCCGATCCGCTCACCTGAGARGTGACAGGTCCTAATCGCGTTTTCCACCAGCTTCCGGAACACCAGGAGGACCTTGGCGGGCACAATGTCCCCCTCGATGTTCACGTCTGCCTCATGCCACTGCCACAGGCTCTTCATGAACTGTTCCACCTCCAGCCACTGCTGCAGGCCCTCRGGGTCCCTCAGGGGACAGGGGATCCGGGTGCCCTGAAGGGTGTAGTACCGCCAGCGCCGCTCCCTGGCCTCCCGGTACCCGGCCAGACCTTTCACTGGGACTGTGACCAGGAACTGGCTGGGGGCCAAAACCTGGGGTCAGGAAAGTTGAGAAGACAGTGTGAGTTCACAGACGGGGGARGTGACAAGTCCTTGGAGAGCTGACCCGTCCAGCCAGGCAGCTCCGTTAGCCACTCAGCCCACGGCCACGAGACCAGGCGGGCAGAAAACCAGGCCCGGGCAATGCGAGAGGCTTACGTCTGTGTTTTGCCACTAAGCCACTGTGAGGCTGCRGCTCATCAGTTAACTCACTGCACATGAATCCACAAGTAAAAAACCCCTAGAACTCTGGAGGGGACCTAAATATAGGAGAAGGAAAAGGAGAGGAAGAAACTAGTATTCCCTGAGTTGCACACCTGTGAACCATAGCAATTCTCATACATTTGGCCCTTTGATCTTTTCAGACACTCATTGAGGTGGACTTGGCTGCCATTTCCCAGATGAGGGACCTAAGATTCAGAGGGGCTTAGAAATCTCCCTAGAGACACACAGCCAGGAAGCAGGAAGAGCCAGAATTTGAGTTTAGGTCTTTTATTTTCAGTACTGGGGATTAAACCCAGAGCTTCGTGCATGCTRGGCAAGTGCCCTTCTATTGAGCTACATCCCCAACCCTTTTAATTTTTTATTTTGAGACAGTTTTGGTAGATTGACCAGGCTGCCCTCCAATTTACAATCCTGCTGTCTCAACCTTCTGGGTCACTAGCATTACCGGCATGTGCCACCGTGCCCAGCTGAGTTTAGAGCTTTCGAGAGCTCACTCAATGATCATTTTCTTATCCTGGGCTAGTTTTTATTCAAGAATGAATGACGTGGCCAGGTGCAGTGGCATGTACCTGTAATCCCAGAGATTCTGGAGGCTGAGGCAAGAGGATTACAAATCTGAGGCCAGATTCAGCAAATTAGTAAGGGCTTCGGCAACTTAACGAGACCCTGTCTCAAAAATTTTAAAGGGCTGGGGATGTAGCKCATGGTAAAGTAACCCTGGGTTCAATCCCTAGTACCAAAACAACAATAACAACAAAAGAAAAAAAAAACAGACAAAAAATAATGAATGAATGATCTGGAATGGGTGAAAGGTCTGATATGAATAATGAATACAGGGTGGGAAGGGATGGAAAAGGAGGTGGCAGGATTTTGCAAAATAGAACCCTTTCTTGTTGCCTGTACTGAGGATCCATGCCCAGTATTAATGAGTAACCCTTACYAAATCAAAGGTGAAATGAAAGACTATTTGTGTAGACAATGTGAGCTATTGAGATGATTCTAAGTTTAATGGGGAAAAGCAAGCAATCAGGTTCCACCCACTGCTATTCTCCAGAAACCAGCTCAGCAGTGGTCAGCAAGAAAATTGGCCAATAGTCCAAAGGATAGAATAAGCTAGTCAAGAGTGCAGAACTGCCAAAGGCAACTTGAACTTTGGTCATATTGCACGGCAGCCCACTCCACACCACACCTTCCCTGTAGGTCGGCTACCTCCTCTTCATGGAAAGTTCTGACAACAGAAATGTGGTGAACTCTTGCCCAGGGCCTGGCCTCATCAGGAGGGAACAGCAAAAATCAGCTGCAACCGATTCTGCCTCACTCTCAGAGAACAACGGATTGAAGTTTTGGATGATGGGTGCACATGACTTATGGTGTCCATAGAAAGGGGGCTAGACGAAAAATCTAACCCATGGAATTAAAATGTTGTTCTAATGCACCTGCATGTCAATTCAAGAACACAACTACCATGCTGCTGGTCACAGAAATGGTGCATATCAATACTGTCGAATTCAGTCYGTGATAAACTGAAAGCAATTTTATATGCTACATGTAACTACTTTCAAAATTTAATACRCAAGACACAAAGTATATAAACCCAAGGTATATTTTGAGCTATGAATTCTTAATGGGAGCACAGAAGGAAACTTTCTCTGTGTAGTTCTAGAAAAAGTAATGCAGTATATCTATCGAATCCCACTCACTGGTCTGTATTTGTCCGACTTAGGTTGGCCTGGGGAGGTCAAGGTGGGCCGGTGGGTTCTGAGATGCCAGAAATCTATTCTAGTTTTACAATTTTCATCCTGGAATAAATTTCCTAAGATCTGACTCTGTCTCAAAATCGACAAGTCCCAGAGTCTTGTGGGTGGTCTTTGTGTCCCTCGACCTTGAGATACATTAGGTCAGCAGGGGTGTTTTGTTCAGGTAGACATCCTATCACTGATGCCCTCATTCATTCAACRTAGGTTGAGTGTCTACCCTGTGCCACACACACCATGCTGGCTGCAGGAAGGAAGCCACCGGTAAACAGGATCCCCTCCATCAAGGAGCCTGCGGGCTGGTATGAGAAACAGGATGTGAGTTCATCCCCATTAAGTGTAAGATGAAAGAGGTTCTTAAGTGGCATCAGAGACATTGCGATAAAGAACGATGAGGATTCAGAATGATGCAGAACCTCACTTCTCTCTTGTTTTAAATAGGAATAACCACACTGTCTTTCCCACAGGCTAACAGGCTGGAGTGAGATCATTGCTGTCCAACAGCTCTGCCCACRGGACAGTGTTGCCCAAACGCTGGTTGTCATGCATGGGTCCTGGTGGCTTATACTCCGTGGGATTCCTTAGCAGACAGAGGGACTCTGAGTCCAYTCCTGCAGTCCCTTTTCTACCCTCTTCCTTCCTCTACCTGCGACCCAGAGACGATCATTTTCAGTTCTTTTCCTATCGATGCCCTCAGTTCCCTCAACCCAGTCCCCCATCTATGAAGTGGGTGCTTAACTAAGAATGTGTGCCTAATGAGCTTTCATCATCACAGTGGAACAAGCTTTAGAATCAGAAGCCTTGTTAGAAGCTCTGGTTTTAGAGCCAAATATGACTTGGTCAAGTCATCTGGCTTCTCCAAGCCCGGTTTGGATTGTCCAGGAACGTGGGACTCCAACGAGATAACACCCATGAAATGTGGTTGTAGACGGTAAGTACTAAGAGTACCCGGGAGACATGAAGTATTACTGGTGCTCTCAGTGGGATGAGCACCCGCTGCATAGAGAGTTCCTCTCCCAAGTGCTCTGGTCTGTTAGTGGCCCTGAGAGACCAGTGGCATTGCTTACCTTAATGTTCCCATTGTATATGTCAGAGTAAGGCACAGCTTGGAATCGGATGTCTTGGTGGCTGATTTCTGTGGTCAGACAATGGATGACTCTCTGCACCTCCTCCACAGCCTGGGAAACCTGCTGGCGTCTCAAGTCCACCTGGTGGGAAGGCATTGGCAAGGAGGTTATTTCTTGTGTGGGACCCAAGGTGCTGGCATCAGAAAGTGTTGAGACAAGGGCCCAGTGGTGTGCGACCTGCGATGTTCAGGGCAAAAATCCTGCCTTGCCAAGACTGCTGGGGAGGTGAACTTAGGTCTACTCTGACTTGATGACACTTGCCAGTGCCTCTATGTTTTCTTCTGAAATAGGCACATTCATACAATATCTATTCCAGAACCTACTATGTGGCAGGTGCCCAGGGGCTTGGTAGGGACACAATGTGATAAAGACAAAAGCAAACAGCATAGAGATACTTGCCCTCTAGTTGAAAACACATACAGGGTATGTTTGAATGTGTGTGTGTGTGTGTGTGTGTGTGTGTTGTGTGCATGCGCATGTGTGTTATGTAACACCAGGTATAAGTGTTACAAAGAAAAAATAAATTAGGGTATAAGATTAGCAAGTAAAGGGGCTGCTAATTTAGATAGGGTGGCCAGGGAAGGCTTCCTTGAAGAGGTGACATTTGAGTGGGTCATGAAGGCAACTCGAGAAAGCAGATTCCAAGGCCMCTAAAGTAGGAGCAAGCTTGGTCATGCTGGAGGGCCTGCAGGGGGTGGCCACTGTGATTGGAGCCAAGGAAAGGAAGAGGAAAGTCACCGGGAGATGAATTTGGAAAAGACTGTGGGGACCAGATCATCACAAAAAAGGTTCTGTGAGCCATGGTGAGACCAGAATGGAATAATAATGTCTTTTCTCCAGGTTGGTAAATATTCAACAGTTTAATGTGTGTAAACACACAGCAGATTGCTTCCCGCTTAAGTCACCCAGTGAATGAAGCCTCCCTTCGCCTCTGTACGCACCCCCTCCTTCTGCCGCTAGACCGTTAAGAACATTCATTTATGGCCCCTCTGACTCTGCACAGTGAGTCACCAAGAACTGGAAAATTCTCACAGAAAACTGAACACCAATAAGATAACTAATATTTAGGGAAATAGACATTTGTGGGAAACACAAAGGAAATTTTAGTGAACTAAGTCAGAATCGGAAGCCTTGGTAGGAGTTCTGGTTTTAGAGTCAAATATGACTTGGTCAAGTAATATTTAAAAATCCACATGAAAGAAGAGGTGGAAAGAGTTTGCAAGTTTCTTCTGATGGTGTGTGTGTGTGTGTGTGTGTGTGTGCGCGTGCGTGTGTGTTGGGGGGAGGTTCTTCATTTGTCAAGGAGGCACCTGTGGGCTGGTGAGTCTCCTTTAGCCAGGGACTGATTTAATATATTGAGACGCAATAGCTATCTATGAATCTTTATAGTCCTTCTGAGTTTGGAATATTGGCTATTTCTAAATATTCTAGAGTAGTTTTGAGACACCCATAAGTGGTTTAAAATGTTCAGAAAAAAAAGCACCCAATTTTTTCTGTTTACTAAGCTAAGTCACCAACCAGCTCAGTTATCTAAATCTTATGCCTCCCACTGACCAAGAAACCATTCCACACCCACAAGGAATACAAATAGGAGAATACATCTGTTTGCACATGTCATATATGCTATATAAATTCAGTTCATCAATAAATGTTTATTTAGCACCTGCTATGTGCGAGGCACTGCTACGTGCCAGGTCACAGCAGTGACGAAGGTAGTCGTAACTAAACGCTTACCATAGGGGGAAAGTCAGACATAAGCACAGGATACAAGTGGAGGGGGTGCCATGATGGAGATGAGTAGGTGCCACTGAGTACAACAGAGACAGGTGACCTAATCAGCAGGTGAGACCAGTTTTATATGCACATAAGCCCAGAGAGAATTAACTTTGAAAAACAAGCTAATCCCTTCCAGATGCTAATACCTTGTAAACAAGGCCCCTGATCTTATTATCTCATGGTGCTTATAATCTCATTGGAAATATATCATAGACCTGAAATGGTCTCTTCATAATCCATGTGTCTTGACTGACCTTGAATATGGCAATCATGATTATACTAGCTTCTAACATCTTCCTTTCACCACCAGCAGACACTCACCCGACTCTGTACCTTTAAGGTCCACCCCACTATATTCATCATGGAGAATGGACCAAAGGTAGTATTTATAGATGTGCTATCCAAGCAAGACAAACGAACTGGAATTTAAAATCACAGAAATCTTGTACCAGGAGAGGTTCATGCTGTCTGCTGTGGAAACCCACAATAGACATGAGAGAAGAGGTAAGAACATGTAAGGTAAGAAGTTTGACTACAGGAGCAAAAGAATTGAATTTAAACAAAAGGAGCACCAACAAGTTTTCCAAAATGACGTACATGTTTAAATAAATGTTGAGAGAAAAGCCTCAGGAGAGAAGGAAGAGGTAGTATTGAGCAAGACCATTGATTGAGGATTTCCCAGAAGGAAGAAGTCATGCAAATCCAGAAAGCTGCATGAGGAATTCACCTTTGTGCATCAGAAGGAAAAAAAGAAGAAAGTGTGCAGTTACAGGAAAATGCACAGGGGATGGTGAAATCAGAGAAATGTCCAGCCTGATGTCTATATTCTTTACAGATTAGGAGACAAGATGATGTGTTGAAGTGAGGTGGGGAGGTGGCCGTTCATGTGATAGACTGTTGAAATAGGTCCCTAAGGAATGAGATGCTATTTAGGTACATGTGTAAAAGACAGCCAGGCAGCAGGAAGGCTCACTGTGGCCAGGTCCATGACTGTGTGAGATACAAATGGACTCGAGATATTCCCTAGCACCTCTCAGCCATCCAAGTATGAGCTCAAGAGCTAAGACTGGAGTTTATTGGGCAAGAGCTGGGGAGGAACAAAGGCAAGGTAGGGTTTCAGCAGGGGCTCCATTCTCCAGCCTGAATAGGGCATGGATAAAGGCAGGTTGGTCAATTTGGGTTCAGAGACTAGAAGTCTGATTGGGGTATAATGGGAATAAACAATGTAAGGTAATTATCAGTGACACAAGACAAAAATAATACGAGATATTCTAACTAGATAGAACATCACAATTGGAGGGGCTGGGAAATAGTATTTTCTAATTGTTAACTTCCCAGGATGTGTGGAAGACTAATGTCCCAGCTTCCCAATCCTCTAAGTCAACTACTGTGATTCCACAGAACTTGAACGTGAATAGCACAACTGTGATGGTGAGTATGTGTTCCTGAGTGAATAAATTAAGGAGTTAAGGAGTCATCACTATACTGACACTATCAAATCACTTTTATTTGATAAAAACTTAAGTAGATGTGCACATAACACATTTGCTGAGTAACCTATTGGAAGAAAGTTCATTGCAAATCTCTGGTACCAACTGTGCCCTCATTTGATGCTGGAATTTTTTTTTACTGGGCAGGACAAGATCATACACATCCTGAAAGACACCTATAATTTCTCACTCATTATACAGGATGATCAGCGTGACTAGCTCATCCTTACAATCTGTTTTGATTTCCAAAGGGGAAAAGTCAGAATAAGGGAATTTTTTTTTCCTTTGCAATTTAAAACCACAAATTCTGGTTTGGGTTTTCTTCTACCACCTCTGATGCAGTTTAGACTCATGATCTTAGAATGCAAAAGACCTCAGAAATCATCTTATGTGATGTCACTTAACAGAGGGTCCAACCAATGGCTCACTCTCCTAATGTTACACCAGCTGTCAGAAGTAGAACTAGAGCAAATGCCCAGGTACACCAACTCCTCTTCCCACCAGTCTCTGTCACATCCTCAAGTTCAGAAGTTACATTCCTGAACCAAAAAAATGTCATCGGTTTGGAGTGAAAGTTCGTGAAATAATGAGCCCAGAATTTCCATTTGTTTAGGTGTCACTGACTGTCACCCCACAAGGACACTAGGCTAATGCAGAGGGGCTGGACAGCGATGTCAGGTATAGACCACAGCTGGGATGGAGACATAGTCCAACCTTGGACAAGTCTGTCCCCACAGAGCCCAAGCCACAGAGCTAAGTGACAGATACTTTCCCACTAAGTGATGAACAGTCCCATCCCTCCATGTATCTCTGGTCCCACTTCCTGATACAGTTTCTACTCTTTTTCCTTTTTTATTTTCTTTTGAGCTGGAGATTGAACCAAGGGGCACTCTACCATTGAGCTAAACCTTCAGTCCTTTTTTTTTTTCTTTACAATTTTTTGATAAAGGGTTTTTCTAAGTTGCTGAGGCTGTCCTCAAAACCTCCTGCCTCAGCCTCCCAAGTCACTGAGATTACAGGTGTGCGCCACCATGTCCAGCTCGGGCTAAAAGTTCTTACTTCTACAAGATCACTGAGCTCAGCAACCCTAGAAGTGCTTGGTGCTAGGGGTTCCCAGGCTCAGTCCCACGTACCTCTTGTTACTCCTAACCTGGAACCCCCAGACTATTTCTGTCCACTTTTCCTGACCACCGCCCAGAAAGCGAGAAGATTCCATTTGATGGTGTGAAAAAGCAGAGTGGGACCCCGAGGCAGCTTACAGAGCACGATTTTGGTAAAAGAAGGAGGTTCTACCATAAGTGGAGACCCCTCCAAGCCTGGTCCCACAATCCCTTCATTGCCTCTCAAACTTCAGGAAGCACTGAAGACATGAGTTGCAGTTTTGAGGCAGGCTTATCACCAAATTTATTTCAGGGAAAATAAATGTAGGGAGAAAATAGGATCATTTAAGCAAAGGTACTCAAAAGCATATCCAATCCAAACTTGACCTCAGGAGCCTGTTCCAGTTTCATTCTCCTCCTCTGCTGATTAAATCAATGAATAAAGGTGTGTTTTCCTTTTGAAAAGACTGCATTGGCAGAATGAATTGTATTAAACTCATCAGGTACATGAGGCAAGGTGTTCTTAGATCACCTCTGCCAGTCCTTCTGCTGCACTGACCCCAGCACGGTCCGGCTGTGGTGCCATCCCCTTTACGAGGGTCTCCCTCGTAAAGGGGATGTGTCTACACATATGTACACATCCCATCCTGGGCTAGCCTGCCCTCTTCCTTGCCAACCGCAGTCTCTGGCCTACTGTTGTCCCACAAGTCATTTGCTATTAATAGCTCAAGTTCATGAACAATTTACTGTTTCAAATATAAATTATTGGGAATTCAAGATTGTCCCCTATCATAACACCACTCTGACTCATTCACATTGCAACACCCTTCCTGGAGGGAAGGGGAAGGCCGGGGCTAAGCAGCATGCCAGGAATATCCCMGGGACCTAGTCACACCCAGGGCAGGTGGTCTCTGTGAGCATCATCCAGGATGAGTGCACGGAGGGAAAACAGCGGAGAACTTCCTTCCAGTAAAGAGGAAGTCGAGCCTTTAGTTCTGGAATAGCCTTAAACCCAATTATTGGTTCAGAGATGAAAAAAAAAAAAAAAAACAAAACCCAGGCCTCTTTTCTGTTTTCCAAGAGCTAATTGTTCAAGGGATAGAGACCAATTCAGGGATAGAAACAGAGGAGACACCATAACCCTATCTCTTCAGACTAATTCTTCTAAGAGCTGAATGCTTGGGCCACACAGGGTCTTTAAAATTCCTAAAGGTAGCAGGAGTTCTACAGCAGCCCTATAGAACTCGGATCGTCGAACCCTTCCTGGGTGCAGGGTGGTTTAAAAGAGTAGCCTCATTTGAGCCTCCAAATAATTCTTTACTGTAGATATCAGGGTGGTTCCCATTGGAAAGATGAGAGACAGAAGCTCAGAAAATTTAAATAATTGGCCCAGGGGCCCAGAGTTAGTAAGTTACAGAACAGGGATTCATACCCAGGCAGTATCATTCTGAAGTCCATATCTGCAACCATGGCCCTGTTCTGTCACCCAAAAGAAAAGGTAACTGAGAGTGAAAACCACCTAAAATATGTGAATGGTGTTCCTTTCTCCTAGAAGATCTCTCCTGTACTTCCCTATTTACTTAACCCCCCCACCACCCACCCTCCAAGCCTTTGTCTCTATTCCCTTTCTCTGAACACACTTCTCCTGTTGGAGTGAATACCCTTCCATTCTCAGGTGCCCTGCTAAGTTCTCCACTGCAGCCCTGGCATCTGCCACGTGTTGATGAAGGGTTTGCCTGTCTACACAAACAGCTTCCTCCTTTCTCCTTTGGAGATATGAGCAAAATCTCCAAGCCGGACACGCCCATCCTTGAGAGAGATGGAGAATGTCTCTCTGAGCAGCCACATCTCAGGCCTGGCGTTCCCCTTGAACCACAGCCCTGGGTTTGGCACAAAGCAGGTGCTCACTGTGTGTCTGGGGATATTCAGAGGGTTTGGCAGGTGAGATTTGGCCTTTGTAGTAAAGGACTGGAGTGGAGCCTCAGCACCTTCACAGTCGTAGCTTGGGACTTGAGACAGGTTATTTCATCTCCATGATACCGTTTCCTCTTCTGTAAAAATGAGGGTTATATGCACATCACATGATTGTTGATTAGAGTAAATGAGATGCTACATGTGCCTCAATCGACCAGCACCTTCTACTCTGCTCTTGCCTTATATATAATGAATCCTGAAGACAGTTCTGACCAAACATGAGCAAGATAACTGTGAATGTCCAAGAGAAGAAAGAAGTTGAAGATGCTCATTCTTGGCCCCAGGAACTTATGAATAGCATAATGACACAATATTGAAGTCACCAACCAAAGTAATAATAGGAAAAGTGTCAGAAGTCAAAGTACAATGAATAAGCAGCATCAGTCATAATTATTATGGGAGCTCCTAGGAGGGCAAAAAATTGTTGGGGCTGGGGTGTCAGGGGAATTCTTTTTGAGAAAGTGAACTCTGAGCTGAACTTAAAATAAAAATAGAGCAGTTTACTGTTAGAACAGATAGAAAAGAGTTACTGTTCATCATTGTTGTGTGTATGTCTGTGTCTGCTTGTGGGCACTGGGGCTCAAACCCAGGACTTCTTGCAAGCTAGGCAAGCGCTCTATCGCTGAGTTACATTCCCAGCTCAAGCTGAGTTTGAAGAGCGCATGTGAACCAGAAAGTGGAACCCAGGACCTGGGGCCTGAGACCTGCTTGGGTACAGTTCTTATGGGGCAGAAACAAGAGACTTGACCACCTACAGGGATGGAGAAAAGTCATCCATGACAGAGAGAGAGGGTAAGTGGGGACCAGTGTCAAACCCAGGAGGAATGCAGCCACTGAGAACTGGCCAGCACGTGTTCTAACAGACACTCAGCTTCTGCTCATGGCTTCCAGGTAAGAAATTGGGACCTGTGATAGCCAGGTACCCTGATATTTTTTTCCTCCCAAAGAAAATAAAAATCTGGATTTCTAGGCAAAATCTCACTAATTTGAAATGTTTATACAAATTTTGAAAAATTCAAAAACTGCTCTGCAGGCCAAACGAAACATGTGCGCAGGCTGGATTCAACATAGGGAGAGATCATTTAGAATTTCTGCTTTTAGAAATGCTGGGAAAGCAGAGGGTAGAAGTTACTTGAATGCCAGGCTAAAAAATTCAGAGGTTTTTTTTTTTTTTCTTACAGAACATAGAGGATCCATGAGAAGAGAAGAGCTGACATCTTTTCCATTCAGAGCCCTCCCAAAAGAGGCATAATGGAAAACCTTTTTCTCCAATTTTTAATCATCATAAGTTTTTCCTATTTATCTCTCTTAAGGGTTTTGCCTAAGAAACACACTTACTTAATCACTGTGCTAATGCTTTTGGCTTTCTTTACTTGTAAAGGGACAAAACCTGAAAATTGGTCCTTACACTTTATTCAAGTATTTTAATTCAACATTAACTTTGTGCCTTAGTCACTTTATCTGTAAAAGGATTAAATTAGGGAATATTTAAGATCCCTTCAAGTCCTAATATTTTAAGAGTTGATGACTCTATGTAGAAGAAATTAGTCCTTCATTGGTATATGCTAAAAATGTCATGGTATTTTTTAAAACAAGCAGTTTCAGAGTTCTTAAAAAACTTCATGCTGACTTTATTTGCTCTTTTTCAATGACCCTATGAAAGTCTAAATATTATCACTCCCATTTTATGGAGAGAAAAGCTGAGGCTCAAGCAGATAAAGTGACTTGCTTCATGACCACAAAAGTATCAATGACCGAACTGCAGTTCTCTTCTCTACTTTATACCCAACACACCCCTGGGTGCTAGAACTTTTAGAGATGGAACAGAAATATGACAAGTTCCTAAATATGCTTTCGGGTGAAGGTTCTTTGTTTCTATCTTTCTTTTTTCTTTTTCTTTTTCTTTTTTTTTTTTGGTGTCAGGGATTGAACTCAGGGGCACTTGACCACTGAGCCACACCCCCAACCTATCTTGCATTTTATTTAGAGATAGGGTCTCACTGAGTTGCTTAGCGCCTTGCTTTTGCTGAGGCTGGCTTTGAACTCATGATTCTTGCGCCTCAGCATCCTGAGCCACGGGGATTACAGGTGTGGGCCATTGGGGCCCTCCCCAGCAATGTCCTTGGTGTCTGAGGAATATTTTATATACCTCTGGAAGCAGCCTGAAATTGTCTCTGGTTCAGTCTTAGTAGGGGGTGGAGATGGAGGGTGAGGAGCTAGTGCATGGGAGAGAATAGCATCTGCTCTTACCTTATTTAGGAGGCAATCTTCTACGTCTCCCCCAGAAAAGGATTTCATGGCTTCTTGGTCAACGCCGAGTAGAGCAGCAACTTGTCGGGGCTTTCTGCGGTGGAGGACAACACCTGAGGGCAGTTTGCCCAGGAAGGATAGTCTCTGGATGAAATTGCTCTGAATACGTGTACAAGGACCAGAGATGTGGCTTTTCAACTCGTCCCTCAAGTTTTTATTTCCAAATTGCGAGAATCCGTCTGTCATCTTTGGAGGAATTAAAAAGAAAAAAAAAAATTTTTTTTTTAAGGAGAGTTGATGAAATTAAATTGGAATCCAATCTAATTTTACCTGTGACTATTTCAACCTAACAGTTCTGCTGACTGCTGCTCTGGCCCGGGAATAGTTTTCCCAGAATTTCCCACCCAGATTCTTCAAAGTTCCATTCAAGACAGAAAGTCCTGTGGTTGGCCCTCTCCCTCCTTTTTCATGTTTTTGTTCGGACACTGGATGCATGTTGAAGTTCAGTATCTTTCTATCTCCTTGTTCTTACCTTGTTGACAGTAAATATCCCTTGCTCTCCAATCCAGAAAATCCCACCAGTGCATTTACCTTCTTTGCAATAAACAAATAGAAAAATTGCCAAACAAACAGCCTCATACTCATCCTTGTGCCTACAACCAAGTAACCAGGGCTTAACAGTTGACACTAGAAAAGCATGCACACGCAGAGGCACACCTACATACACAGACACACGTACGCACACAGGCACCCAGAGAGACGCATGCTTACACACACCACCCACCCAGAGGAATGGCAGGGCAGCCATCCTTGGGCTCCCCTGCTGACCTTTGAATGTAATTTCCCTCTTCCCACTTGAAAACTGCCATTAAAATTGAAGTCCGTGTAAACAGACCCTCTGAAAGTCAAAGAAACACTCACATCTGGTTTTGGCAGTAAAATTCGTGTTGGAAAAACAGCTCAGGCAGCAAGTTCCCAGTCTGACTGGCTGGGGCTAGTTTTACTATAGGGAGGAAAAATTTCACAATGGCTTGATCTCCGTACAGCTGGTAAACATCCCAGCCTACTATCAGAACATCTGAAGGACTGACAGCATGGAGGAGCCCGGCTCCCTACTGAGCAATGCAAGCGTCTTTCCAAACCTACCTCTGAGTGCAGCCTCTAGGACACATCAACCACTCCCGGACCAGAGGCTCAGTCACTGGGTTTCTGTGGCCCAACATTTGCATTTCCTCCCAGACTCTGCCCAGGTGAAAGCCACATCACAAGCTCCGGGCGGCTCTGTGCTCCACCCACCTCCCTAGTCCCAGCTTTCAGTCTGGCCTCTGCAGACACCTTCAAGGAATCCACAGACTGATATAAAACTTGAAAAGTTCCAGTCTTTCCAATGACCCTCCGTTACCTGCCTCAAAACTGCCCTCTTTTCTCTATGTAATCATAGTCCCCTTCTTTTGACATCAAATGCTCCCAAATATTCAAGCATTTTTCCCCCTTGGCTTCCTTACAAATACAGGTTATCATGCCCAGCTGTCCTACCAGTATCTCCCAGATGGAACAAGAGACTTCCCCTCTCTCCACCTGCCCTTCAGAATTMTCTCTCTGCCTCATTTTCAACTTCACCAAAGTCTTCTCATTTCTCTCCTGTGCTCCTGTTTTTGATCTTACTTCTGCTTTCACTGGAATCATTAGCTTGGAAGTCCCTTTCTTCTGGTGGGGACTTTCCTAATGAACTCAGGCTACTCCAGGGTCTTGCCCTCAGAAGCATGCAGGTTCACCATCTCTGTACCTGTGGCTCTGCTATCTCGGTTGCTCCAGTTTCGCAGCTGATCAAAATATTATGTCTGGAACCAACTCTTGCCCTAAGACACCTGGCCAGGTGTATGATGGGAAAACAAAGAACTGGGACACAGGAGGAGCCTTCGAGAAGCAAGGAGCAAGAAACAAGAAGCATGTGCTCAGGGCAGGTAACTGCACTCTGGTTTCAACAGGATGCACTTCCAGGAAACAAAGGTGTTTTATGAACACACAGTAGTGCTTTACTCTTCAAAGGCAAAGGTTCCACAGCACAGGACCATCTCCCCCAAACAGGCTCTCTGACTGTTCCTATTAGACACATTGGTGAAGACAAAGTTTCTTGGTAGACATAGATCTCTGACTAATTGAGTGATGAATCAGCAAAAAAATTTTTGCTTAACAGGATGCCTAAGGCACTGCACTAGGCCACTGAGGAGGATTTAAAGCTTATTCACATTCTCCCCCTTCTTCAGGAAATACACATTCTTGTGTTTCATGATTCACATGAAATGCAAGTATTAAAATGTAAATTGGCTTTGGCTCAGTTTCTATTGTGTGGACCAACAACTTGTTTTTAAAAGTCAGTTTAACGAGGGATTCAAAGTGTTACACTGAACRTAACCCTGCAACATGTAGCGTCTTAGGAAGATCATGCATACTTTTGTTCACCAGCAAAACCGTGTAATATGATGTATTAAGAACTATGTAATGTTATGAACGACCAATAAAAAAAAAAGAGATATTACAACAACAAAAAAAAATAAAATAAAATAAATTAAAAAAAAAAAAGGGCTGAGATTTTCACGCTAAGAACAGTATGTTTGATCCAAATCAATCATTTTATTCACTTGTTCTGAGACAGCCTCGCTATGTTTTCCAGGTTGGTCTCAAACTTTCCATCCTGGGGCCTCAGCCCCCTGGGTAACTGGGATTACAGGTTTGCACCACTGTGCCCAGCTTGAGTCTTAAATATGCAAATGTGTTGAACGTCTCCAGAGTTCCAAACTCTGACTTACTCCCTGAAGGATTTCCTTTAATCCTGGAGTGACTCAACTCCAACAGCTCAGTAAAGGAGAAATAATCATAATCGTCTGTGCTATGAGGAAACCCACAGTAGTGAACAATTTGAGGCAGGGGCAGTGTCTATTCTGTATCCCAGTGAAACCTCAGAACCTAACACACAGTTGACCCTCAGGAAATACTACTGTAGATTTATTTGATTGCATTAAAGTGCCATGCTAATAAAAATATTTTGAGATGCATAAAATCACTTTATAAGTTATAGATTAAATTACAGCCATGGAACCATGACAGCTTAAATTCCTATCTCCTTTTATAGGAAAGCCTGATAAAACAGAACTTAGCATAAAGCTTGGCACAGGATCAGACCTTAGCAAATATTGTCTTCATAATCCATTTTATTCACTGAAGAAAAAGACTTCTTTTACTGGATGTGAATAATTCTGGTCTTACTTGGTGGGTGAGGTCTTTCAATGAGTCATTCATCACAGTTCCACCAAAAACCTGATGTTCTCTCCTCTCACACTAGAAATGACAACTGAAAGAGTTTGATCTCCATCTTTGTTTAGGTTCAGAGGTAGGGGATCCCAAATTCAAATGCTTACCTGGGCCAGACCAGTCATAAAATAAATGAGGATCAGGTAGAACAATGGAAAGGGGTGGGTTTCAAGAATATATGCCTAAGTCGCTAGAGTTTTGTCTTTTACTTTTTTAAAACAACACTGTACTAACCACAAGATCCCACCCCCTCCTGCCCACACTGAAGATTCCTACTAAAACAGGTGAGAGAGTCCCAATGTCTTCCCCGAGACCCTGTGTGTTCTCATAGGCAGATTCTCTCTGCTTGGATACCTTCCCCTCCTCCYCTCCCTCTTCGTTGGGCCAACTCCTCCAAGATGATCCTGCAAGATTTGTCTCTCTGGGGGCCTTGTCTGATGCTGGAGGCTGAGTAGGGATCTCCATATGCTGTTCCTAAGTCACCCAGCGTTAAACTTCTGCTCTAGCTCTTATAGCACGACACTTTTCTGGCTTAATGGTATCTATTCCTTGTCTCACCACAAGCTTCTTGAAGGAAAAAAAAAAATTCACATTATTGGAACCTGTATTTGATATGTAGCAGGTGCTCAAAAGATGAATGAATGAATCCATGAACCAATGAATAACTAAGATGTCCTCTCTCCGATTTGTCCATTCAACAGCCCAATCTACAGGCATTTTTTTAAAAAGTGAGGAAAAATAAAAGATGAATAATGAGTAGGCTTTCATTGGTTCATCTGGGAACACAATTAACACAGGTAGAAAGGGAATAGGGCAATGTCTCTTGGAAAAGCTGACGTCCACTCAGAAAGAGCAAAGCAACAGAATAAAATATGCTTGCACCTGAAGGAAGCCGCTATTTGTGGCCTAAAGCTGTCAGGCATGCTGAAAAACTGCCCAATAATTAGAACATGCCATGCAGGTCCTGGAAGCCAAAACCCCACATGTCTTTGTAAAAGTCATAGCTCTATCTGGCCATTTCAACAGAGAAGCACATTATTTCTTAGCAGCAATCATTAGCCCAACACATCCAGAAAGAGGGGTAGCCCTCCAGCATCAGCCCAAAGGAAGAAACAAATGTTTACTGAACAGCAACAGTTCCATCACTTGTACAGCCTGTGATGGATGAGAAAGGATGGAAACTGTCAACTCCTATGCAGCAAAGATGACCTGGTTTCGTTACAAAAATAGTATGTAATGAATGATCCCAGTTTGGGCTGCGGGGAGAGAGAATATCTAGATTTGTTTCCATCTGTCCAAGTGTCCATCCATTTATATCTTGTGCACCTCAGTTATTCTGGATTTTCCTTGTTCAATCAATTCAGGCCAGAAGGCAACCCAGGAAAAAAAATTGTTAACAGAAACCAGTTGTTGTCGTAATGAAACTACTGTTACGACTGGACTGACACATTATTTTCAAATCAAATACTAAAAGGTGTTTCTATTTCCATAGCTTCCTGCTTGGTTGAAAAAAAAAATGTATTTTCGTCTGAAAATTTTTCCTGAAGTCAGGGTGCAATCCTCTTCCCRATACTCTGAATCATGCAAGGCCAGTCTATTTTTAAGTTTTAACCACCAGAAGAATTGTGAGAAAAAGAGAACCATTTAAGGAAGCAGACAATTGGTTTTATTTGCTTKTTATACCTGAAGCTAACTGGCAACTCGGTTGAACTGTTCACCTCAGTTTCTGAGTTGGCTGAGTTAGGAAGGAA